TTTTCAGCATCATTACTCCAGTCTTCAGTGTGACATGATCCTTCAGAAATCATTCTCATATGCTGATTTGCTGCTTAAGAAGCATTTCTAATTATTATCAGTACTGTGCTGCTTAATATTTTTGTGGAAACTGTGATACATTTTTTTCAGGATTCTTTGATGAATAGAAAGTTCAAAAGAACTGCAGCTTTTAATACATTTTATGCGTTCTTGCTGAACAGAAGTATTATTTTTTTTCAAAATAAAAATCATTACTAACCTCAACATTTGAATAAGAGTGTATGATTTACTACATATGTTTATGCAGGCTGCTCCTGGATATCACATGGCAAAGATGATCATTAAGTTGATCACCTCCGTCGCTGATGTTGTGAATAACGATCCTGTGATCGGCCGTAAACTGAAGGTCATTTACCTGGAGAACTACAGAGTGTCACTGGCAGAGAAAGGTAACATACACCCTCACAGCTAACATAAGTATGAGATGAGTGTATTGATGAATAAATGTATGATTATGTGTTTTATGTGCAGTGATTCCAGCTACAGACCTGTCAGAGCAGATCTCCACTGCAGGGACAGAGGCTTCTGGGACAGGAAACATGAAGTTCATGCTGAATGGGGCGCTGACCATTGGCACTATGGATGGTGCCAACGTGGAGATGGCAGAAGAAGCCGGAGAAGAAAACCTCTTCATCTTTGGCATGAGGGTGGAAGATGTAGCAAAGATGGATAAAGAAGGGTAGGGAGTGAGACGAAAAGATTATATACTTGGAAATAAATGCTGAGTAAATATCATGCTATCTTTGAAGACATTAACCATTCCTTTGTGTGTGTGTGTGTGTGTGTGTGTGTGTGTGTGTGTGTGCAGCTATGATGCATTACAATATTATGAGAGTCTTCCAGAGCTGAAACAAGCCATAAATCAGATTAAAAGTGGCTATTTCTCACCGAAACAGCCTGAGATGTTCAGTGACATCATCAACATGCTGTTCCATCATGATCGGTAAAACACTCACGCTTTCTTTTTGAAATTCTTAACTACAAAATCCCTCACGCTCTCTTAAACTGTCCTCCAGGTTTAAAGTTTTCGCAGACTACGAGTCTTACGTGAAGTGTCAAGAGAGAGTCAGTGCTCTGTATAAGGTGAACATTATCACACAAACACATCAGAGATTCATTTAATGTTCAACATTAATTTCATGAGTGATGGGCGCTTTTGAAATAGTGCTTCATGAAGCTTCAAAACCTTTGCCATACTTTTGTTTCAAATCAGTGATTTGCAGCACATATCAAACTGGCCAGGTCACATGACTTTAGCGAACAAGGCTTTGTAATAGATGGTTTTAACTGATCTTGGGTCAGTTTTATAATGTCGGTTCAATTTTAATTAATTGAATAAAATTTAATCAACATGCATTTCTAATAAAAACAGACAGTGATAGTTTTTAAATGGCCATCATAAAAGGTACACCACGCGGCGGTTATTAAAGGCCTTCTGAAGCGAATCAATGTGTTTGTGTAAGAAAAAGATATATATTTAAAACTTTATAAATTGTATTCTCTAGCTTCCGCTAATTGTCGTACGCGCATTCAGGAGAGAGTGACGTTCCAATGGATGAACTATCCCTTTAATAAATTACACTTTTATAAAAAAAATTTTAATTGGTTTGTAAAAGGTGTCCGTATGCATGTTTGTAACTGAATCATTTTAAGAATTAATTCAGTTGATTCAGTTTCTAAAAGCATTGTTTCTCCCATCACTGCTTTACATTTCATTTAATTCAATGACATTCAGTGACACATCATCATTACTCATTTACTGACTCAGTTTGTTAATTTCCAGCTCCAAGCTATTTTTTCTGTGAAACACATAAGGTGAATTTTAAGAATCTTGTGATTTAAGATGTGAGACTTAAGTATGATTACACGGTTCTTTTCTATATAGCAACAGTTCAAAGTGACCATGGCTGTCAAGCTCCAAAAAAATACAAAGAGACCCTAAAAGTGCTATTAAAATGGTTCATATTTCGCTGTGTTGGACAGGATCAGAGAGAGTGGACTCGTGTGGTAATTAAGAACATTGCGGCATCTGGAAAGTTCTCCAGTGACCGCACCATTAAAGAGTACGCCACTGAGATCTGGGGAGTGGAGCCCACTGACCTGAAGATTCCTCCACCCAGTGAACCACGTGAAGCTCTGGAGGAAACCGCTCGCGCCCTGCGCAAGAACTGAACACGTCAGCATAGTGTCATAGGATCATGAGAAGACTTGTTACATTCATTAATATAATTAGCCTACTTAGTATGAATTCATTTTTAGTTTTTGCTTTCAAGTTTTTTAAATGTTCATGCATGACTTTCTAAAGGAGTGCCTTGTACTAGCAAAAAGCTCAAATAAATCTCATATTTTCATTCAACATTTGAGTCAGTTTATTCATATAGTCTTAGTAAATATTTTGATTTTATGGAAAATGTATTAGAAAAATTAGAAAATGACTAAGAGTGAATAAAGAGTGCATGAGAGGCAGAGGACAAAGAGCTTCATGGGTCAACATACAGACATTCTGCACTTTTATAGTACAAAAGAAAATGAAATAGTTTAACCAGAGCAAGGGCTTGCATCACCAAAGTTGTGGGTTCTAAATGAAATAGTTTTACCAGAGCAAGGGCTTGCAACACCAAAGTTGTGGGTTCTAAATGAAATAGTTTTACCAGAGCAAGGGCTTGCAACACCAAAGTTGTGGGTTCTATTCCAATGCTAAACAAATCGCCCAGAATACACTGTAAGCATCCAGCAAATAAATAAATGTAATATACACAATTGTTCAATGTTTATATTGGAAAAAAAAAAAAAAAAAATATATATATATATCACTTGTTTTGAACTGCCTATTCAGTCGAGAATCCTGAAAAAAGTATCACGGTTTACTATTCATCATCATTATTATTATTAAAAATAATAAGACATGTTTATAAAATAGACATCATAGTAAAACACAATCATTTTCAGCTGTGAGAATAAGAAATGTTACTTGAGCTTTGCCATCGCAGGAGTAAATTGCATTTTATAATATATTAAAATAGAAATGTTATTACAATATTACTGTTTTACTTTATTTTTTGATAAAGTAAAAGCAGCTTTGGTGAGCATAAATTACTTTTGAACTGCAGTGTAAATTGTATTACTACTCTGCAGTGCTTTGACAATGCTGTAAATCAAGCTAATAAATCCTAATTGTACTGATTTAAGAGTAAAAAAGCAAGAAAAACACGTTCAACAGGTGTGTAGTTCCATCGCTGCCCTGCCGGAGTCGCTGTTGCGCGCTGTGTTTCTGCTCGTCTCCTCCTCTTCCTCCTGCAGGGCCTTTCAAAATCTCCCTGACCGCCCCATTATAACAGACAATGTAGCACACTGACCCGAGCATTCAGCGGAAAGCCACCACATTCACAGCTTTAGCTCCAGCATCAGCTCCAAACACACACAGACCGGTTCAGTTTGAGCGCGAGCTCCGGATCAAACTAATGGACTTATAGCCGAGTAACGGAGAGAGCGCGCATCTGTGAAACCGCCGGGTATGTTCTGATGGGTTTAACTTTGACTTTATCACACATAAATCACAGCCATCTCACTCATAATAGATTCATGCATTCATTCGGCATGAACCTTTAATATTATGTGTCCTGCATATGGTTTTGAGTTTGTGCCGTGATTTGATTTGGCGATTCATTTGTGATTGCAGTATTGAAGTCCAGAACTTTGTTTCTTTAATAGTGAAATTTTTGTAATTATTTTCTTTCACCACAAAACATGTTTGATAAATGAAGTGAAATCGAAGTGGCAGTGTTCTTAGTATGGGTGTGTATTTTGCGTGTTTAATGTTGTGTTTGTGTATTTAATGTTGCTGTGTATGTATGTTGCTAAGAGTCACTGTTACGGACTGATGACCTCGATCGTCTGAGATTGCTGAATTGTAGCCATGTGATGAGGGAAGTAGTTTTGGTTTTCAACAGGTTGTGGCACTGTTTCTATAATGACTAATTGTTTAAAAGCCATGCAAAGCTAAGTGGAAACAGAATTAGGCACCACAGTGATGGAATGAGTCTTCTGTCTGCAACTGAATCAAACCATCTGTTCATTTAAATGTCTCCGATGATCATTCTGCAGTGTGTGTCTGTCATTGTCCTCCTTTGTGTCTGTGTCTCCCTGCTGGACACTTGTGTGATGCTGAAATCTCTATGATTGCTGATTATTTTTTATTGGATTGCTGAAATGCTGATGATTCTTTCAGTTTATTATGAGTGAATTACTACAGAGAGATTTCTCCGTTTTCTCTTTTTCTATTCTAGCCCTGTATGGGACCTGTTGCTTTCAGATACTATAACAGAGCTTCAATGGGTGCCGCTCGCTCATGACCAACAAAGCAGACTTTATACATGTATAGGATTTTATGTAGTGAAATTATTTGGGGAAAAAATATTAAAAATATTTATTCTAGCAGTATGTTTGTTGTATTGTGATTACTTGTGCATCATTTTACATGGTAAAATAAAAACTGTTAGTCATAGAAAACCTGCTTATATCAGAGAATTAAAAAATTGTGATTTCCAGATATCATAATTTGCATTTATGCATGTGGCATATAAAATTAATACAATTTAAAAATAATTGAATAATATTAATAATGTATATTAATTTTAAATAATAATAAATATTAAATAGAATTTAATAAGTCTGTTTAATTTGATACACAGTTCAGTTTGAGCACGAGCTCCGGATCAAACTAATGGACTTATAGCCGAGTAACGGAGAGAGAGCGCGCATCCGTGAAATGTATGATTAATAAATAATAATAAATATTTAATAAAAAATGTAATAAGTCTGTTTAATTTGATACAATTATGCTCAGTCTGAAATTATTTCTTAAAGTGGAATTTTGAGCCAATCTCAATTAAAATAATTATGAATAAAAATTTTAATGAAATTAATGCCAAAAAATTCAATATGATTATCATAAATGAATGGAAAAGACAAAGGATTAAATTGGATAAAAGTTGTGGTTACCCTGTTTACAGCTACTTTTGTATTAAAATTGATATGATATTATATATTACAGTCATATTTGTTCAGATTGTGATTTAATAGTATTTGACATAAATGGATGATTCTGTACATTTTATCTGGTTAGATAAAAAATGCCCCTGAGAATTAGTTCCACATGTTACCTCGTCCATATATCCGGGTGACTCTGAATCTGTTCTTTCTGAATAGAGGGACACCTGGCCACTCTCAGACGTCCTTGTAAGGGGCCGGTGATGATGTTATTGACAAGGAGCAGATGGATACCAAACCCCTCCCCTTTTTTGTGTTTGTGTGTGTGCACCATCCACTGAAGAATAATAAATGAATACACAGACTTCTATGCTTGTAAGGCTTTCAGAGGGGTCAGGGCTCCTTGGGACAAAAGACACCTGCAGCCGAGTGTGTTTGATTGTGTTGATCTCAGATGTTATAACTTGTGTGTCCTGACGTTAGCCTCTCTCATCTGTGCTCTGCTCTGCATTTAGCCCACAGATCTCTTCTTTTCCTGAGCGGAGGGATTGAGTGTGTCAGAAATAGTGCTGTAGGTCTGTATGTGCTCTCCATTTTTGTGGCTCAAGCTTTAATGTTCCATCTTGAATCTTATGTACTCTTTAATAGCTATGAGCACGAAGTTCAAGGAAATGTTTAAAGTCTTAAAAGAAATAAAAAATGTGTAATATTGGCCAATAACGTGTATGTACAGATATTTTGTGCACCCCTAATAAGCATATTATTGTACACTTAATGCAAAAAAATTGGTACCTGACATAAAAATGGAAATAAGCCCAGAGATGTAAAAGATTTCTATATACTCTTTATCCGACTGAAAAGGTCATGGAAATCCATTAGTCAGGTGTGGGAACGTTGTACTGCTGTTATGAAAGCTGTAGTCCTTTAATGGCTGACAGCTAATACAGCCTCCTTGGTAAAAGTGACCGGTGTGAGTGTGTCAAGCACTTGCGCTTGATCTCTTTGTTGCTCCTGTCCATTTTTTTGTCTCTCACTCTGGTTATTGATGGCTCTTTTTGCATCCTTGTGTTTTGAACAAGATGTTGGAGTTATTGTGAGTGGAGGTGAACTATCGGCCTAAATAAGCTAAATATCAGTGGATGGGATTTGTAATTCTGTCTATGTCTCTGTAGGAAAGGCTGATGGATGGAGTGAGGGACCAGTATGAGGAACGATTGAAAGAGGTGTTTGAGAGTTTTGATGGCAGTGGTTTGGGCTCTCTGAGTCCTGAGGAACTGACCGATCTCTGCCGGGCCCTTCAGCTGGAGGAGAACACACTGAACACACTCTTACACACACTGCTGGAGGACCAGATCCGTGCACGGGTGAGAGATAATAATATATACACATGCGTCAAATTAGTCATTTTATTTTATTTGAATGTCATTTTTTTGGGTATTTGTGTGTGTGTGTGTGTGTGTGTGTGTGTGTTAAATTTAATACTGAGACATTAAATACTGTTAATGGTCAAGAGAGTGTGGTTTACATTTCAGAAACTTTGTCATTTGTTCAAAACCCAAACCAAACAACTTTTTAGAGCATCTAAAACACGAGACTGCATAGTCTTGATAAACATTGGTGAAAAGAGGAGTGATTACCTGCTACTGTTTTGATTTACAGGTTGATTTTGAACAGTTTAAGGATGCGCTGATCCTTGTGTTATCAAGCACGAACACAAATGATCCAGAAGAATGTCTTGAACGACCAGGTAACATCCTTATAATATCTGGGCTGGTAACCAAAAGGTTGCCGTTTTAAACCATATAATGAACGGACATGAGATCATTAAACTTAATTGAGCATTTTAGATTATTGGCATTATTGGCATTTTGATCATGTAATCTTGCTTGCTGGAACCAATATTGTGTAAAAAGAGCAGTTTAAATCCTCAGTTTTATCAATGTCTCATTAAGTTGTATAGTTATTCCATTCTAAAAATATAATCGTCTTTGGATATTGGTATTACCATTGAAGCTCCCTTTTCAAACAATATCTATACATGCTTTGATGTTACATAAAAGTCACCAAAACCTTTAGAAATAAATATCTATTTATTAATTCTATATATCAATTTAGGTCTAATATAGTATATGTTATATGTTTACAGCTGTTCATTATTCGGTCTGCTTGATTTATGACTAATCTATCTACTATAATTGACACACAGTTTTTAATACAGGTTGTGATCAAGCGGTTCTGCTCAGCATTTAGAAATCATGATGTAATCAAGAATGTATTAAAAACCAGACAGCCTGAGCTCAGAGAGTGAAGGGAGGATGTAAGGTTAAATCTGGATTAAGGAGGATTATTCTGAGAACAGTGAGAGTGT